GATTCAGGCCACAGTCTTTTGAAATAACTTTCTATACTTCTCAGAGCTGGACAATGAGTAAAAATGACCAAAGAAGAACTGATGCCTTTGAACTGCGGTGTTGGAGAACACTGAGCATCCCATGGATGGCCAAAAGAATAAATAGGTCTGTGTTGGGAAAGGTGCAACCAGAAGATAGTGTTTTTTCATTCTTGGAAATAAGGATGGCACAGCTCATCTCTCGTACTTTGGACGTGCTGCTAGGAGAGTCTATTCCTTGGAGAGGGATATCATGCTTGGTACCATTCAAGGTCAACAAAAAAGAAGACCCTCAAGAAGGTGGATCGACTCCAGTGTGTCAGAGATGATGAGGATGACACAGGAGAGGACAGGATTCAGGTCTGCTGTTCATAGGGTTGCTATGAGTCATACTCTACTCTTTTGACAGAGCCTAACAATACCGTGTACAGATATCAAGAAGTATGACATACACGTAAACTGATTGTACTAAACACTCACTGTCAACAGCTTGATTCCAACTGACAGCGACCCTCAGTTGGGCTTCCACACTGTCAGTCATAACAAGAGGAGTCCGTCCATCTTTCCTCCCCTGAGCTGTTGATGTCCATGCCTTTGTGCAGCCTTTGCATCTTGCAGCTCACCACCTGCTACACTAGAAAGCAGGGGAAGGTGATAGAAAATGTTGGGAAGAACTTGAAATTCTAAGAGATTGAACAGATAAGAACTCAACAAGAGGAGGAGAGGACTGAGACAGTGGATGCAGCAAAAAGGTTCCAGGCCAACAGTGATTGTGAGAATAGTACAGGATCAGGTAGCGTGGCCTTCTGTTGTACCTGGAATCTCCATGAACCAGGGGCACCTCGACGGCATCGGTGACAATGACAACATGAATGAGTGTCTGAGGAAGGAGCATCTCAGGTGCCTTTGCGAATAGCAGGTGCAAAAGCCCTGAGTCTGGAGTGTGCTACATGTGAAAGCTGCTGGTTATGCTCACATTAGACTGTAGTCTGGTGAGCAGGAGTTAAGCTTTAGGAAGTATTGTTAGAATTACGAAAATGTGACATGGAGACAGTAAGTGAACACATGAGGTTGAGGAAATGATGCCAGTAGACTCGCTTCATGCAAAATTGCCACACCTCTTCTCTTCAATTTATTCTCTGAAAGCTTACTTGCAAATCACAGGAAAATGAAATGCAATAAAATAAGATATACCTGTAGTAGGAAATGAAGTCAGAAGGATAATGGTGGGACAAGTTAGAGTATCTTGTAGGTCAAAATAAGGGTTTAAACAGAGGGGTGAGGATGGTCAGGGGTGTGAGGGATTAATCACAGAGTCACACAATTTGATAGGTGGAGGGAGGGGTGGGTAAAGGAAAGGGGAAAAATCAGGTGTGAAAAACAGTGTATATGAGCTTTGTAAGTAAACCGGTATAAAATAAAAAAAATATTTAAAATAAAATTCTAGGAAGAAAAGTGAGAAAAATAGAAATATTTGCGGTTAGTTACAACTGACATTTTTTATTGAGAAGAGGTTCTCTAACTTAAGATTTCCCACATGGCTGAATCTTAAGCGTTATTGGTGGGGAGAATCTAAAAAAAAATTTAATAGATCAATGGCATGATTCAGCTTATATTTCAAAAGGATCCTCTGGCTGTTTTGTTGAGAACAGACTTGGGTAAGAGAGGAGTGAGGGGGGCTGTTTTGTAAAGGCGGACTGTGTTAACAGTCCAGAGCAGTGGAATACCCATCTTAATGGAGTAATTGTGGTGTGGTCTGCCAGTGGGATGTTGGAATTCTTCCTTTCAGTGCAGTATGGATCAGCCCAGAGCGGGATGGAAACCAGATCCTCCTGGAAGTCATGCCATCCCGGTTTGTTCTTTGCCTTCAGTAAAGCCTGGCGCTGTTTAGCAGTGCCATTTGTTTAGAGCTTTATCTGTGCCCTGTTTGTCTGGGAAATTGTCTTGGAAGAGAAGGAGTACTTTATCAAATGGATTCCCTTTGTCACTGTCATACTGGAGAATCCCCGCAGCAAGAGAGGCTACAGTGGTTTACTGTTCCAGGGTGATCGCTATCGATTCGGACCCTGCCAGTCAGCTAAAGAAAAGTAGGTTACTGGGCTGATGAGCGCCCCTGAGATGTGCACTCAGTAGACAGTGCTTCACCTCTTACCCCGGGGCAAGCATCACGAGGCCTGGAAACCTGCTCCGCAGGACAAAACATGCTCTGCAGGACAAAGTGCCTTCACCCTGAGGCTTTTCATTTCAGTCTTAATGTGGTTGAAAATGTATTTCTTTGTTTATATCAGAAAACCAAAACAACAACCTCTTAACCTACTAGGTTGTCATTCTGACTGATTTCTCCACTTGCACCATCAGGAAGCTCTCTGATAGAAGTAGTTTTAATTTATATGTGTGTACCGGTAGTTTAAGGGACCTCTGATGGCCTAGAGGCAATCCCTAAGACACACAGTTTGAGGCCACCAGCTGCTCTGCAGAAGAAAGATGGGCAGTCTCCTCCCCTGCGATTTACTACCTCTGAAAACCCGCAGGAGAGTTCCTCCCATGGAACTCCTGTGGGTCTGTTCTGACTCCACGGTGCACAGCAACAGGCAGTACCTTAAGGGTAGTGGTTGTACGCACTGACTCCAACTCATAGAGACCACACGAGACGCAGAACTGCTTCGTAGGCTCTTCTTGGTTATAATCGTTATGGAAATAGAACATAAAGGGTTGTGGGGTTTGTTTGTTTTTTTTCCACACAGAGCTTGGTGGCTCCATCTTTCAATTGGAACCTAAATAGTTACGCACATACACCAACAGGGCTTCTTAAGGATTACTACTATTGCTTACTGCAGCAGATTCTAACTTATAAAGGCCTGTCGGAATTCCCACTGTAAACTTTAATAGGAAGAGACTGCCCATCTTTCTCCTCCAGATCTGGTGGATTCAAACCACACTAGCAGCAAAGCAGGGTACAGATACAGACTCCACCTTACCAGAGCTCCTCAACCTAAGGGGTGGAGGAATATGTGCTGAAGGTCAAGCTTACCATTAGACAGAGAAGACGCCGGAAAGAGTGCAGTTAATATCAGTATGGTTTGGATGGCTTGGTGGGTACTGCTGGGTCAAAATTCCCCTTGTCTTTTAAGAGCCCACTTCAACTGGAACATAACAATTGTAGCAAACATTAATGGATATAGGGTAATTTTTTTTGTATTAAAACACCAGTGATAGAAATTGAGCTTATCACTTTTTTCAATACATTTTTCCTTAGGTAGGAAAGAAACTTTATTATTTACATATTTTTTTTTTTGTCTTTAGAGTATAAAGTAAAAACTTTGAGATAGTACATAACTTCTTTTCTACATTCAGATCTACATTAGCTGTATTTTCAGGCCTTTATCATCTTTAGATTCCTTGCAGTAAGGGGAGGGGTCAAGTATTTGGCAACGCTTTATTTCACTTTTCTCAAGTCACGGTTACGTGACCACCGCTTTCTCAACCATGATACATGACAGTTCTAAACACTTCCCATATAAATCTCTTCCCCTTAAATCCCAGCTGTGAGCTTGTGAGATACGGAAGGTGGCAGAATCAGCCCAGTTTTGCAGTAAAGGGGTCACTTGACTGATAGTGTCATATACACAGACTCAGGTCTTCAGATTCTTAGCCTGGAGCCCAGTCCCAACACCAGTTCATTGTCATTTGCTCTCGTGTGGCCTCTCAGATGTGTGGAGCTCTCTTGGTTATAGAATAAATAGAGATTTTTGCAGTCTGAGGGATTTAGTGGTCACAGTAGACAGCAATGACAGTACTTTTTCTAAGTGCTTGAATTTTCTTACAGACTTCAGTAAGGTTGCCTTTGTGTGTGTCCTCTTTGAAATGTGCAATAAATCCGGAAAGGCACACACATGTTCTTCTGAAATGGAGAAATCCTCCAATGCGTACAGGCAAAAGTGAGCTGTCAGAAGTCAGGACAGTCAGTCCCTTCCACTGGAGCGTGTGGATGGGGGGGATGTGAATCGATCTGGCTGCTGGTTACACAAAAGTGCCCCTAGGGACAGTTAATTGAGTTCTCTTCTTCTCCAGAAACTCATTTAAAATGCTTTCTTTTTATAAGCGGTAGCTCAGTGTAAATGCTTTAAGCTTGTAAAACTGTTGTTAGTTATTTATTGTCTATTATGTGTTGCCAGAAGAGCTGTTGTTACACGGTTATTGTCTTTTACACACCACCGTTTCCCTACCACAGTCACTTACTCTTTGTTATTGTTGTCGTTCCCAGCCATGCTGCTTTTCTTTTGAGTTCTGAGAATTTCCTTGTTACAGAGTCAGTTGATGGGGTCTTGTGAAATCCATCATAAAAGGATTGCTAAAACAACTTTCTCACTTAAGCTCGCTAAGGCATTCTGGGAAGCACGGTATTGAAGAAGGGCCCTTCAGTTGGGATGTTAATCTGTATCAGTGCAGAAACTGCTAGCAGTGTTCCCATGGAATTCTGATAAGGTCCAGCACAGAGCTTTTGTCAGCGTCTTATAAATTTAACAATTTCACGCTGATTTTTCCTCCCCATATAAGTGGGTTTCAGAAAAGCACAAATAGTTGAGCAACAACCACTATTTCATTTCAGAAATGCTCCTTGAGGTCAGAGCCTAAAAGAAATAAGATTGAAACTAGAAATAACTTTGAGCAAAGCAAAATTTTAATAAGAATAGAAGTGATGGCACAGCCGTGGTGTTTCTCAGAGCTGTAGTGTTGGACTGAATTCACAGGCTTTCAGAAATATGGGAAAGACAGGAAGAATTTACAAGATTTTACAGGTCAGCAGAACCATTTGTGGTCTTTATCTTTTAGAGCTCCAGGCCAATGTGAATCGTGTATATTATGAGTCATGTTCATATATAAGTCTGGTGTTTTGAGGTGTTTCTTGGGGGGTTTGTTTTTTTTTTTAAAAAAAAAATTACTTACCTCTCTGGCTTTTTCTTTCTTTTCCTCCCCTGCAGTGTTCTGTCTCGTCATCAGAAGAGGAGAGAGTCATTTCCATCAGAAGACCTAAAACTCCAACCTCAAGTGACTTCGACCTTAATACTCACACGAACTGGACCAAGTCCCTTCCGTTGCCAACCCCCGAAGAGAAGATGCGGCAGCAAGCCCAGATAGTCCAAGCTGATGTGGTTCCTATTAACGTAACTGGTAGGCTTTCTATTCAGTCAGGGACAAAATGTACTTGGGAGAAAGAAACACTCTTGGATTTTTGTGTATTATATGCTCTTGGCATTTCATTTCTGTTGACACAGTGGTGGTCTGACTTCCTGACCTCTGTTTACTGAAGGCAGTACTAAAACATGTATGTGTGTGAGCGCGCAGTCTATTTCAGATTGCCTGAGAGATTAGAAGACTCCATCACCAAAGATTGGTGCTAGGCACTTTGATTATTCAACCATTCATCTCAAAAAAAACCTAAATTTATTTGCTGTTTTAAAGATATTATAATTGTGTATGAGCAATTGCTGAATATATTAAAAATTTTACTCCAGTATTATCCATACACATTAAACAACACATAACCATTTTGTAATATTTCTAAGGGATAGATTTTCTTAAGTTCACATTAAGTGAAGGGAGCTCTGGTGGGCTAGTGGCAAGAAGCTGCACTGCAATCCCAGAGGTACATGGTTCAAATCCACCAGATGCTCTGCTGGAGAAGGAGGGGCAATCTCCTCTGTACCAGTCACATCTGATTTGATGGTACACACATACAAAATAAATAATAAAGTTTAAAAAAATATTAAGTGAATGTGAAGGTAAAACCACATTCAAAAAGATGTAAGATGAAGAAAAACTTATATTCCTAATTTTAATTCTAAAACCATCAAGTAAAAATTCTTACAAGATGTAAAATTTTTAGAAAATACTATTAGGCCAGGATGTGATTGTTAATGACCAAACATGAAATTCCTGTTCTTTTGAAATACTATGTTCATGCTTGGCTCAGCTGTGATAATTAACATGAGAAATAACAAAATACATAAATCTCAAAAATGATCTTTTAGAAACTTAGAAGACCTGCTAAAAAAATAGCAAAATTGTCCTTGCTTTATCACTTGTATAGTCTGCAGAAGAGTAGGGCCAGCAATTTGTAGAGTGTACAAAGTATAGCTTCAACCCTTAGAATGGGATTTCAAGACAGATAGATGACTAATCACCGGAGAGTCAGCTATGAGTCAGTTCTGACTCTATGATACACACAACAACAGTCATCTGTAACAATCAGTCCATGTACAAGATAATTCCTGAACGTAAAAATATTAAGAGAATAGTAAAGGCAAATTTGCATTAAAAACTGGCCTGAAAACTTGGAACATTTTTGCTGAGCTTAATTCTAAGGCTATTGCTATAGACTGCGGTCAGTGAGGGGAATTTTTTGCCTGGTGGATGTCACTGGTGAACTTATAAGGGAATAATAATATTTTGGTAGTTATTGAATATTTTAAAAAAACACAACAATCCATGAACTTACATTTAGAAGTCATATTTTTTAACTCCATAGAAGTTATCATAAATAGCTGCATGAGGCATTTTAAATTTTGTGTGCCTTTTTCCACATTTTCCCCGTAAGTCTTAAAGAAATAATGAGGCATTTTCATTAATTTGCTTTAAAAAAGAGCATTGTTGGTCTTTTAAATGTGTGTTCCTTTGCTCACATACTCAAGACTGTAATGATTTTGTAGCTATGTCATAAAACAACTACAATTTTTATTGATATATTAAATATATGAGTCCCTATTTCCTGAAAGAACATTAATTATATTATTTGATTAAATGCAGAAGTGTAATTACATTATGTATGATTAAATGCCTCAGACATAATGTTATAAGATAAGACAACTGTGTGAGGAAATGTGATAATCCTTAATGGAATCAGGATAAAATGCATTATGGTGAGATTAGGAAGTTTAAAACACAGCAACTAGAATTTCAAGGATAAAGGATTATTTGCAATGATATATATGGTCACAGCAGAACCCATTGTATTATTTCTTTGAGTTTTACTTTGCTCCTGTTTAATGACTAAGTGGATGTAAATTACATGGAACAGGTGAATACACATGAAAAGCCATTGAGAAGCATTTAAAAAGAGGCCTTTAGAATACCACAAGAGAAAGGCAAATGACAGTCAAGAAATGAGCAGTATATACTATGTCAAAATATTAATTACTTTTGACTTTCTACCACTTTGAAGGAAAGTATGGATTAAATATAATAGCTGATTATATATTTATTGATCCATGTTCTGCAGCTCTGCAGAACCACACATGGACACAGATATTTCTTAAAGGGATAAGTTTTCCAAATAGTCCAATGTAAAGAAGCATTAAAAATAAAAATTTCCATTTAGGTGGTTATAAAACCAGTATAAGTTTTACTGATTCCTGCTCTTTATAAATTTGTAAAGTTTGAAAGATTTTTTAAAATAAAAATGTCACTTTCTGCAGGGAATCGTCATGGCTTCATGTACTTGAATGAGCATGGATGCTGCACTTTGATTTTCAATAATACTCAGCAACAAAAATGCCAATAAATGGATCCTTTCTGATCCAGAATTAAGTCTACCAGGTGTAAAGGTGTCGAGCATTAAGGCAGAAAGCTTCTGGCTTAGAAATAGACTTGACCCTGGTAGTTTTATTCCTGTAGGGAGTTAAAATATTTGAAGGGTTGAAGGTATAAAGTGTGCCTCTCATTTGCCATCTTGGATTATAAGTCTTCCAACTTAGAAGATGAGAATAGTGAATATCCAACTCAAACTGTTTTTGCAACTTTGTCCTAAAGTTGGAGTCGACCAGCTTACTCTAAATAGGAAACACGACTAGTAATGCCATTTCTCAGTGCGAGGGAATGAGTCGCTTCCTTGCAGGTCAACAGATATTACTGAGTAACTGCTTTTGTGGCAGGCACTGAGCAGAGAGCAGCCAGGGATACCAAAGTGTGTGAATCGTGACACTTCCCTCAAGAAGTGTGTTGTCCAGCAGGTTCTTTCTAGGTCTTTCTAGGTCAGGAAGAAAGGAGAGAGTTTCTGCCTTTAGTGGCTTACGTCCTAGCTGTTCATCTGACCATTTACTTCCTAATTCCTCAGGATGTGAATGGTTTTTATCATTTGTTTTTGTTTAGGACCCAAAGCTGGAGACTAACTGCAACTCTCTATTAATGTTTTCTCTGTTCTTAATTTCTTTAACAGAAGATTTCCTTTACTGCAGAAAACTAATCAAACTTTGAAGCCGTAACTTACTGCCACCCTAACAAGTGCCATTTATGCCATTGCTCATGGTGACCTGGTTGTTGTGGTGATGGCAACTTCTGGTGTTTCAGAATCCTTTCTCAGTCATTTCTGCCTTTTGCCATTACAGATAGATCTGAAAGTGTGTGTAAGTTTGGAAGAAAGTTTAAAAGATTATTCTTCAGTAAATAAAATGTATGTTGATTGTTCAGATCTTTCATTCTTTCCTTTGGTGAGATAGGGTTCTGTATATAACTTATTAATATAGAAGCTACATTGTTCATTTTAAATGAGTCAACATTGCAAAAAATAGTTAATGTTTTTTATGTTTTATTTGCTACGTAAGGGAAATAGAATTGTATAATGTATGTATGTATGTATGACTATAGATAATCTCTTTTGAAAAGAGTAATCTGATGATTGAAAATTATCAATAGAGACTTTTTCAAATAGCAAGTAATTTAATACAGATCAGTGACTGAAACTGTTACAAATTTATTTTATGGTTTCTCATGGTGGGTTAATTACACAAGTTTATACACTCAAGGGAGCTCTGGTGGCCGAGTGGCAAAAAGCCGCACTGCAATCCTGAATACACGTGGCTCAAATCCACCAGCTGCTCCATGGGAGAAGGATGGGCAGTCTCCTCCCTTGCAATTAACTGCCTCTGAAAACCCGCTGTTGGGTCAGCTATGGGTCGGTTCCGTCTCAATGCTGTACAACAACAACAACATACACTCCACTAGATAAAGGGGGAAATCATGTGGATAGGGCGTTCCAGTTTCAACTAAAACCTCACCTGAAATGTCTGAGTTAAGATCAGCTTTTTAAAAGGGTTTATGGAGCATCAGGGATTGGTTCAGCCTTAACTATGGTGATGCTAACTGGGTCTCATTGTGATAAAAGTACGCTATCATTATAAGGCTTGTTTTCATTATAGATGTTTTTACACCCTAAAACCAACCACAGTTTATCTAAATTATCAGCCTCCTAGATTGAAAGAAAGAATTCATCCCAAAACTGTTGATGAAGTGATTTATCACACCAGCACGTCACATAGTGGTCTCTGCGGGATGACATGCATCAGATTTGTTCATCACATCCGCTCATCCACACTGGTATAAGAGGGGTATTCTGTGACCAGAACACCTCTGTGAAACACTGCCACACTCCTCTGGTTTTTTAAATAGCGCAGAATCACTCTGCCAATGTGTTATTAACACTTTGCACTTACTACTCTGACTCATTTGAAGTGAGATTAAGGTGTTGTCTTCAGAGGGACACACTCATGCAAACTGGAAACCAGCCTTACGGTGCTAGTGTGCTTTCTCCTCCCTTTTTACCTTTTAATCCATCATTATTGGATGACTGGCTAACACCCTTATTAATACCTTCTCATCATTTTACACCAAACTTCTGGAAGAAAGTGCATGATGTCAGCTTGCTTGAAAGTAACATTGCTTTGCTTGTTCTACTGCCTCTACATTAGGGGAGAATTTCGATCGCCAGGCCAGCCTTCGGCGGTCTCTCATTTACACAGACACTCTGGTAAGACGACCGAAGAAAGTCAAAAGGAGAAAGACTATTACAGGAATCCCTGACAGCATACAGAAGGAGCTAGGTATGGCTCATCAGCACTGGTTCTGTTGTCCTTCACGGCTGCCTGGCGTTACTCTGCTAACCTTGTTTGTGGTGCTTGTAAAATCAGTATGTCCCGAGAGCCAGGGGTGGCGCCTGGGGGCCAGCTTCTTTCCTGAACAACGCCGGGGAGGCAGAGCTTAACATGCCAGCAGATGATGTGCTGCATTTGCATGAGATGGGAAGGGGGAAAGTTTGTATGCAAACTGCAAACTGGGTAATAGAAACTTGTGATTCTGTCATCATCACTGTGTACAGTGTACGTTGGCATTTCTACCATAAAGCTTATATTTTCTTTGTGATCTTCAGTTTCCCAGAAACTGAAATACTCATTCTAGGACTTCAAATTGTGAAGCTAAACATCACTAATAACATTGACAGTACTGGTGGCATCTGGTCATGCCATTGTAGTAGGAAAGATTAATTTGCTTTAAGTCAGATACTACCTTCCCTGTCCTTCTAGTGGAAGAATCTTACAGCTTTTTTAACTCAAGTGTTTTTCAACCTGTAATAAAAATGTGGGGGGTGGTTAGAAAGCGTGAAGGTCTGGTGGAGTTGTTTAGGTCATTATTCATTTTTCTTCATCTGTGTTTTGGGTAATTGTTTCATTCTCTGTTTTCTCTCCCCACTCCTGTCTGAAAGCCATCAGCAATGTCAGCAGAGGCCATTTGGCTTAGTGTGACAGGGGCAGGGACAGGGGTGACAGAAAGCTTTGGTTTGCATCCTGAGTCTACTACCACTCTCTCTTTGTGTGGCCCTGGGTAGGTTACCCTACCACCTGGAGTCTCTTTCTTCATCCAAAAATGGAGGTGATGTTGTCAGGAGCACCTGCCTCCTCAGGTTGCTTGAGGGATGGATAGATTACACTCACTCACTCACTCTCTGGTGCAACCATAAATGTCACCAGTGTCTTAATCATTGGAGAGAACTTAATCCTGCCTATCTTGAAATTTGTCTCTTTGATCAGCCAAAAGCATTCGATGTAAAAATTGCCAGGTGACTAGTTGGTAATGTTTTATCCACTGTTGAAGATCTGTGACAACGAAATGTGGAATCCTGGGTGGCACAAAGAGTTAAGTGCAAACCTAGCACCAAAAATTGGGGGTTCTGACTAAAGGAACTTGGAAGAAAGGCCTGACATTCTGCTCCAGCAGGCAGAGCCATGAAATCCCCAGGACGCACAGTTCTACCCTGCAGCACATGGGGTCACTAGGAGTCCAACAGCAGCTGGGTGTTTGTTTGATGTAGGATCTTACGTTTTTTGGGGTTTTTTTAAACCAGGAAACTCAAGATTACTCTTTCTGAATTCTCTTTTCATCAGATTACTTTATCATGTTGTTGTTTTGTACCATCAAGTCAGAACTGACCCAGTGGGTTTTCAGAGGCAGTAAACCACTAGAAAAGAGACTGCCCATCTTTCTTACTCAGAACAGCTGATGGGTATGAACTGCATGCCTTCACTTGGCAAGTGATAAACCTACTGTAACACCTTGAGATGTTGTAAGTCAGCTTGCAGGTGCTACAGATTTTGGACCCCGTGTTGTTCCCCTACCCTCAACATCCCTGCTTAAGTGCCATGTGATTGGGAGGGTGGTTCCTGTTAATGACATAAAAGTCCATAGCCCTACATTCAAAAAGGAATACTGATGTTTTGCCTTATGCTGATTTAAAAACTCCAGTAACCCAGAGATAAAAAGGTCAGTAAGGACTTATTAGAGAGCTTTAGTGGCCAAGAGGGAGATATGGGGGCTCAGCGGTAAGAAGCTGTGCTGCAATCCTGAAGGCACACAGTTCAAATCCAACAGCTGCTCCACAAGAGGATGGGCACCCTCCTCCCATTCAGTTAATTACCTCTGAAAACCCACTAGAGGGTCAGCTGTGGGTCCGTTCCAATTCAGCGATACACTACAACAGCAGTGGCCTAGAGGTAAGAAACTGTGCTGCAATCCCAAAGGCATGCAGTTCAAACCTACTAGCCACACCATGGGAGAAGAATAGACAGTCTCCTCCTGTGTCATTAACCGCACCTGAAAAGCCACTGGATGGTCAGCTGTGGGTCAGTTCTGACTCAGTGGCACACAGACAGCATGCATTCACAAGACATATAGATACATAACTCTGTCTTTGGTTCATGTCCCTATACATTGCTACTTTTGTGACTATACAAAGTCTCTAGCTATGTCCCCTAAGAACACACACTGTGGCCTTCTCCACCTCAGAACTTAGCTGACTGGGTCCCGTCTTAGCTGACATGTTTTCTCTCCTTCTTTGGCTAATAGCTATCTGATTGGAGAAACTAATCTGAACTAATATATTCAGTGCATGTTTAATAAGCTAATTTATTATAGCACTCAGGTAATGTTTCTATTTCAAGTGGTCTTTTAGGAGATGTGCTTTAACCTAAAGAAGGGACTTTCAGGATAGGCACTGGACACCCTTTGAAGGTTAACAAGGTTGAAGGTTTAGGGTAAGCTACAATTTATATGGCTTCCCACTCAAAACAGGTAAACTTGGGATGGTTTGGGGCTGCAGGTGTAAGGATAGATTAGCCAGCATCAAGAGAGATAGATATAGATATCTAACTATTTTTATATACATAGTGCAGATAATATTCTCTAAATCGTGTTACAGATAGGTTAGTTAGAGGATTAGTCAATGAAGGATAGGATGAAGGAGAATAAATTTCATTTTGCTTTAATTTGCTATCAAATCTTATCTGTACCATCCATTTCTACACTTTTGCTTAACCGTGTCCATTCTCCCAGTACTTTGTTAACAAATGCCTCAGTTAGGAGCTTTCCTTGCCCTGCCAACCCAAAGGTACACAGTTCTAATCCACCAGTTACCCTAAAGGAGAAAGATGGGAAATCGCCTCTCGTGACATTGACATTGTCTGCACACCTGCTGGTGGGTCAGCTCTGAGTTGGTTTTGATGCAGTGGCACATTACAACAAAAATCCTTTGTTATCAGATTGTCAGCCCAAGTTAGTCTGTAGTGAGTTTGCATTGCTAACCCAAAGATGGTTTTGTGTTTGTGTGTGTTTGTGCGCACATGTAAATATAGACTTTTTGCTTACATAGTCTCCTTTCTCATAGGTATTTCAGTTCAAATCCACCAGATGCTCCATGGTAGAAAGATGAGCACTCAGCTCCTGGGTGATTTCCTGCCTTTCAAAATCCACTGAAGGGTTGGCTGTGAGTCGGTTCCAGCTGGTGATACACAGCAATCTCTGTCATTGTTATTGAGTCAGAATCAGTTCATAGCTGATCCTCCAGTGGGCTCTCAAGTCTATGAAGTGCATGGAGAAGAGACTGTCTGTCTTTCAACCAAGGACCCTCTGGTAGATTCAGACCACCAGTGGGGCGTGGCCTTCCGCTTAGGTGTGCAGCTCCCTATGGACTAACCCCTCCGCGTGCTCTTACATACACAATTCATGATGCAGATCATGGGGCCTGCAAGTTAACATTGGGCACGTTCATTACTGGACCCACCAATCTACAGTGAGAAACTCAGTTGCTTCTTTGATCTCATTGGATAATCTCACCAGTCATATTTTCTTTCATAACTTGTCTTCTTTTAAGTATAAAGCATGGAGAAGTATGACTAAGTGAAACAAATGGAATAAAAAAATGGAAAAATAGAACTTCTGTATGCTCTCAAAATCACTATAGGCTTTGAATTTTGTTGTTGTTGTTATGTGCCATTGAGTCATTTGTGACTCATAGCGACCCCTTTGTACAAGAGTTCTAAACGCTGTTCTATCCTGTGCCAACCTAGCCATCTCAAACATACTTATTCCCACCATTCCAGTCACAGAATCGATTCATCTCATCGAAGGTCTTCCTCTCCTTCATGGGCCCTCCACTCTGCCAAACATGATGTCCCAAGGATCTCCTTGCAACATGCCTGAAGTATGTCAGACGAAGCTTCAGAATCCTTGACTCCAAGGAGCATTCCAGCTTCACCTTCTCCAGGACAAACCTGTTTGTTCTCCTAGCAGTACATGGAATATTCAACACTCTTCTCTAGCACCACAGCTCAAAGGCATCAATTCTCTTTCTAGCAACCCTATTCACTGTCCAACTCTCTGATGCATAGCA